TGAGGAACCTCGTAAGGCTGTATTTGAAGATGACTTGTGCTTGAGGAGTAAGTATAGGATTCGATTCGATCCTCTCACCGCTTTTGCTGACGTCGTACACAGAATGTTGGAATTACATGGGCTTGGGTAACGTAAGATGAACTAAGTATGCGTTTTGCGAGACATCTGACAAAGTCTTGGCGGCATGACGAAGGATAAGCACTAGCATTCCTGAAGGTTTACCGTGCGCACGTACGTGAGATTTGGTATTTAATGACATTATTCGGCTCGTCGCTTCGCTTTTCCTTTCAACTCGATAATTTTGCCAAAATGCGTTTCATCACCGACAACAAGCCGCGACAGGATCAGGGCGAGGAGGTGCCGCTCATGGTCATCGGAGCTGGCCTCCCTCGCGCGGCAACATCATCCTTGCAAGCAGCACTCGAAAAGATTGGTTTTGCACCATGTCTTCATATGGCTGAAATCATTCCCCATGCGGACCGTATGCGACTTCTTCTGGCGGCTGTGCGTGAAAAAGACACGCCGGTGCGCCAGAAGATGCTGCGCCAACTCATCCACGGTCATTACGCCATTTGCGATCTTCCCGTTGTGTTCTTCACTCCCGACCTTATGGACATGTACCCCGACGTCAAGATCGTTCTGAATGGACGACCGGACCCTGAAGTCTGGGCACGCAGCGCCGCCGAAAGCTTCAGCTTCATCTTTTCACCATGGTTCAAATGGACAGGACTTCTCTGGACAACCGACAGACTCTGGTACCAGCTCAACGGAGAATCGAAGAAATATTGCCAGGAACTTTTCGGCGACGAAGATATCTTTACTGCGAGGTGTTACAACGGATACTACGACATGGTGAGAGCCGAAGCGAAGAAGCGAGGGAAGGAGGTGCTCGAGTTCAGAGCTGAGGATGGATATGAGCCGCTGTGCAAGTTTCTGGGAAAGGATGTTCCGGAGGAGCCGTTTCCAAGGTTGAATGAGAAGAAGACTTTTCAGATTGTTCAGGGTATTCTTATTGTGAGGGGGTTGCTTGCTTGGTCGGCTTTGGGTGTTGGATGTTGGGGTGCTTGGAAGTTGGCTGATCACTTCCTGCAGTCATGAACGGACAGTTTTGTAGGTATCCCAAGAATGCAAATGTAATGATAGGTTTTCAGATGTACGCAAGTCGCTTTATTGATTGTTCACCAGAACCAAAAGATCTGCCACCAACCGTTCACTACTGGTGAATTGACCAAGATGAAACCCTAGGCCTGCAAACCCCTGTTAGTCTTCGTCGCTGCCTAGGCCAAGCACTAATAACCAACGCCCGTTGGTCAGAGTACGTCGAGGCTCTGTTGGTTAATTGAAGCCCATAAATAGTTCATCTTCCCATTTCTCAATGTTAGCAAAACTCTTCTCCTCTTAACCTCTCTTTTCGTCGCTCAACATGACTTCATCTGAGCCTACGTCTTTTCTCCATCTCCCCCTAGAGATCCGCAACCTCGTCTACGATCTAGCCTTCAACCCCGATGTCAAAGCCAACATTCTAGACGCAGCGCACACTAGATACACCAGAGAGGCTAGCCCTTTGCTCTACGTCCATCCAGTAATCTCTGCCGATCTCAGAGAGCGCGCTTATAGCGGCGATTTCTCCCTCGTCCTCCCGATTCAAGAACCCAGCGAGTGGGTGAAGGGACGAGGACTCGACAGCGAGAATATGAAAACATGTCTTGATGACCTTCCCAGTCTGATGAAGAAGAAATGCGAGAAGCTCATTATCGAGGCATCGCAGTCGGATGAAGCAGAAGAAGAAAACTACGAATTTTGGGATAGCGAGGATTTCCCGAATTACCTCATCCCACTACTCCTTCAGATCAAGGAAGAAATACCAACATTGAGCAAGATCACCTTTATCTTTTGGTTTGGAGAATGGAGCGCGCCAGTGGACGTCTGGAAGAAATCACTTCGACTCCTCTCGCGACGATGGAACAAAAAGTCCCAGGGCCAAGATGGGAAAGATCACGCGGACAAAGACCTCGCTCGCAAGTCTTCCAGAGGCAAACCATTGATTAAGATGCAGTTCAACCTCTTTGACTATTATGATCCGGATGGGGGCGATACTGGCGCGAATGGATACCTAATGTGGTATTGCTTTGCTGGTCACGAGAGGCCTGAATATAATGATGAGGATGGGTCTGAAATGGACGACGAAGATGATGATGAAGGAGACGGTGATGACGGCGAAAACAATGACGACAACAAGAGCCAGGACAGCGATGAAGTCATGAGTGAGGATGACGACGAAAACACGGACGAGGATGAGGACTACAACGATCATGGAGCGACCGCCAAATCCCTAGGCTTGAGATTCACTTTCAAAGCCATGGATCTGCACTGGGAGGACCACGTCAAGGGTAACTTTGAAGGCAAGGAGTTTGACCCAAACGTCTGGGACGACATTTACTTCCACACTATGACCCCCGAAGGAAAGGACAGGGCCGCTCATAAGTACTGGTATATCACTGAGACGTGTAAGCCGTACTTTGTCAAGACGGCGAGCGGTTCGTTGTCATAAATACAGTATTTAAAGTTTCCCAAGGACTTTCTGATCTAGATCGGATCAATAAAAGCCAACGCCATATTAGGTCGATTATCGATATGGGCAATGCAATGCTTTGAAATCCTTGTAGTTCAGCTGCACCAGGGTGTTGTGGCTACAAGAAAACATACAATAACTAAGCTGTCTTGCCAGGGCGCCAGGTCCAAAGCAATCCTTCAATTGTGATGGTTCGCCTGTCCGTCGTTCAAAAATGGCAAACTGTAGGCGAACTACGGGCTTGGCAAGGTGGCTGTCACTCAGCCACCCTCTCTGCCTTGCAACCCATGCATGCTGCCAATACCTATGCAACCAGTGATAATGGAACATGCAGGCGTGACGTGGCCAGTCGCTCAAGATCCCCAAGCTCGCAGCCTCACAGACTTTGCCCTCATTTCAAACACTCTCCACCTGTTTGTGAAGCTCGGGCAGTTCAAGTTTCCACGTCCACCATGATGCCGGATCAGGAAGCCATCTTACTTGATACAGAGTGTGACCTTGGCGAGCCTGCTTATTTGAGTAGCCCTCTCGAAAGGCCTCTTACTGAGGACTCAGTGACCTTTGAAACACTAAGCAGCGATCCACAACCCTGCCAAGGAACATTTGTGACTCCGGAAAACGACTCTTTCTACAAATTATACTCCTACAACGACTTGAATTCGAAAGCGCAAGATATCAGATTGATTCATGTCTTCAGAGATGAGCAGTGCGATTTGATTCAGTGCGAGTTCCTCCCACAGTCAAACCTTCGGGGAGTCAGTGGGAATTACCACACGCTGTCTTATTGTGCAGGAGACCCGTTGAATGCGGTTCCCGTTCTTTTGCAAGGTATCAAGTTCAATGTATTCGCCAACTTGAACCATGCTCTCGAGAAGACGCTATCGGTGTGGAAGTCTCAGTATCCAGGACAAAGATGTGTTCTCTGGGTCGATCAAATATGCATCAATCAGCGGAACGACGTCGAACGATCCCACCAGGTCGGACTTATGCGGGATATTTATACCAACTCACGAGGAACATTCATCTCTCTTTCAACGGCTGACTCGTATGAGACTAGTTCCAACGGTTTAGATTGGGTGAAGGAGCTTGCCGAAGCGTGTCAACCGTTAGGCACATCCCAACCCTGTCAGAGCAAGCTCCATGATATTTTGGGGGTAAATCTTTCAAATCCCAATTTTTTGGAAACCTGGGCTTCCTTCTACGAATTTTTTCAGTGCCCCTGGTGGAGGCGCGCCTGGGTTCACCAGGAGTTCATATGCTCACCCGACGCCGTCTTCATGTACCACAGCAGCACTATTTTCTCTACACACACTTCGTTTCTCTTGTTTCTTTGTCAGACCTTGCAAAATATTCCAGTACTGATGTATCTCTACGACTTGGAGATAGAAAGGCGACACAAAACTAGAGTAACGAATGGAGATGGTGACCCCCAAACAGACATGCGGAAGAGAAACAGGCGTACGTTAGACTCGCTTCGGGCCATAGAGCTGCTACTGAACACCAAGGAGACATGGAGGGGTGATGAAGACCTTAAGAAGATCTTGGCTAGATCTCGATACTGCAGAAGCTCTGATCCCAGAGATCGCATTTTTGCTTTCCTGGGGCTCGCACGCCCTGGGTATGGTATCGAAGCCGACTATAGCAAATCCAACACCCTCGATGCTACCATTTTACATACAGCCAAGAAAATCTTCGAGTTTGACCGACACTTGGAGATACTGGCATTCGCCGTCAGAGCGACTAAGAGAAGGGAGAGCACATTACCATCATGGGCGCCAGATTGGGCATCAACCGAGGTTTTAGCCGATGGTCACTTCACACGGCTTCCAGGGCTGGACAAGGAATTCCAGAATGACGCTATCGGTTCATTAGTTATCCATACTTCTGCTGGTGACAATACTGCCGTCCTGCGGGTCCAGGGCCTTCAGATAGATACCTTGAAGCCTCCTACCGAACCGACCAAATCTTCTGGGTACTTAGATTGGGCCATTGGGTCAGATGCAGAGATTTGGTGGAAGAAGGAGACGAGATCTGGATGCTTATGGGTTCAAAGTGGCCCTTCATTCTTCGGCCATGTGATGGGGAATACAAGGTAGTGAGTGAGGTCGATAATTCGATGGGGCGGGGGGATAAATCCATACAGTTCCACGAGATTCTTGGTCGGATGAGGGATGGCCAAGAAATGCTACGCACCATCGACCTTTGTTGAATGGGGTTATATAGACATTGATGGCTCAAGTTTATTTACTCGATAACCCACGATTCATGACACAATCATGCTTGCCTAAATTGTCATTTTTAACTAGAAGGAACGAGCTAGAGTCTGTCTCTCACTTCATCTACCCAACAGGTAGCGCAACTAAGTCAAAGTTGCAACTCGCTCCACCAACAATCCACCACCAAGATGGATCACAACATCGTAACAACAGCGTAATTGGTTTAGTGGTAAAATTCTCCGTTGCCATCAGAGCAACGCTCGGGGAGCCCTGGGTTCGATTCCCAGATTACGCATAAGATCCCTCGTTTGAGGCGTTGAGATGTCTTCTTATTGCTGTTGTGAAGTTTGGCGACGTGGTCAGTGAGGTGGCGTCGATGAATTCTTGTTTTTGGCCATGTAAGCGCAAACATTGTCCGAATTAGAAATTAGAGGGCTCATAAATATCACGTACTTATCACTCAGAGATTAGACTAGTTTAGGTATGGTTGCTTATCATTGAATCAAATATTCGTGTCTTCGTCGGGAACTGTGTTGTAGCTAGGAGCCTCAATCCATCAACCACTGTCGCCTTACCCTCTCGAAACTCATAGTTAATCCGGTCTGAGAGGAATATCCGAAGGATTGAGTCAGACTTTCCTAATTCTCCTTCCTCATACTGATTCCCGATCAGACCCCCATCACTCACGTGCACATATATCACCCTGACTCCGTCCTCATCACTCAGATTATGACAGATGCTTGCCAACAACATGGGAGCCAAGGGGGATGTAGCTTTCACGTAGAGGTCCCGTGGAATATACCTCGCCTAAGTCATTCTTGTTTTTACTGCGCAGTTGGGTGGACACGCTAAGTCCGTTTCATCCTCCAACAAGCTCAGATGATTATTTCTGTCGGTTAAGAAGAGCCGAGGTCTCATAATCAGTAATGCTGCAGGAAATATTGCCCTGGTCTCCCAACTAGACGCACGACTTGCATGGTATCTCTAGGAGTATCTTTAAGTTTGTTACTCTTCCCCGAGGCTGCCTAAATGTATGCCCTCCCAATAGTTTCAGGTGTAGCTCAGGCATCAATGAGAAGGGAATCACGAGAGGCCAACTATTGTATAACAGACAGACGGATATAAGGGGGTTATAGGCGAGGTAGCGTTGGCCCTGGCCTCAAGTAAACCTGAATCCCAAGAATGTTTCATAAAATTGTTTATCCGTAGACAAAGCGTCAGATGTTTGTCCGTTGAGTAGCACTCGCCTGCTTCTGTGCGGGGGTCGTTATTGTTGCTAAGATCAGAACAAGAGACCAGCTCCCCCAAACTGGTCAGTGTCTTTCAGCTGAGGCCATTAAAGACAACGTTTAATGATATGAATGTTTCTGTCCCCATACTTTGTATCATACGAGTATCCCCAGATAACAGTCTGACAATATTCAGCTCCTGCGAACCCCCGACCTCACTCCCGTTCTCCCCTGAGCCCCCTTGGAAGTGGAAACAGACGTTCAACCGTAAAAGGCGTTATTGCTCGATATCCTGGGGTACTCCCCCTCAAAACGTGCGATTCGCGCAAGCGAGGAGCGGAGGCGTTTGGATCTACTTCCCTGTTCCCAGCGTCACGCCACTCAAAACTGGACCCTGTCGATCCCACGGCCACGCGTTTTGGTGAGCCGGCCCGTGACGCTCGGGGCAGTCAGTCACGCTCGGGGCAGCCGAACTAGACTCCTTTCTCGGAAAGCCTGTTTGGTGGGTTGTTGCGACGACTTTTGTTTGTTAGTGGCGAGACTGTGGATGGTAAGCCACGGTCTTGATCGACAGTTTCTCCGTCGGCACGTTGCCAATAGACTCGGTATTCTTGGCGGGAGATCTGCCTCATCTAACTGCTAGCGTATCGGCCAAGATTGCCGGCTTGGTGAGTCTGGGCAAACTTCAACATCCTCAAGATAACAACCCCCTAACAAATCTGCACACATACACTCTCACCAGAGAACAGATACTCCTACCATCGACCATCGACCATCGGATCACATGCGACATGATTACCCTTCGTGGTGTTCATCCAACCCCGAAAAGACGACATTTAAACTACAAGCACCATCCTTGCTCTGCTAACATGGTCACAGCTCTGTTATCCCACCAGGATTTCAGATTCAGCCTGTGACCGGAGTAGAGATGCGAAAAATGACCATTAGCCCACTTTGGAAACGAAATGGGCACATCAAGGGTTCTTTAAAAAGCCGCAACCTGCCCTGTGCAGGATATCACACTGGCCTGACATGTGCATGAACAAAATGACGCGAACGCAAACTGCAGGAGGGAATCGTCCAAGGGCGTAAAATCTGCATTCAGGGTCCATTCTAGTATCTATCTATGATGCGCGTAATCTAATAAGTGTACCGGAAGAACTTGTTCTCCTTGTCGGTCATGGTTGACCAGACCTCAGGGGACATGTATGAATCCTCCAGACCCTTGCTGCGGTCATCGCGTCTCTTGTTGGCCCAGACGTAGTAAAGGAATAGAGAGAATGTGGTCACGGCGCAACCAGCCTGGGTTCCCATGACTGCGAGCTTGGCAGGGCGGAAGTCGGGAGCATCCTTGGCCTGGAACGTCTGGGGTCCGATGATATTTCCGAGAGAGAATGAACCACTGACGATGGCAGCGGCAAAGGCTCGCTTGGTAGCACCACCAAAGTTGGCAGCGGTCCACTGTTGGTTGTTAGTGGGAGCGATTAGCTGGCTCTTCAGGAGAACTTACGTTGTAGAAGATGGTCAGAGGAGCGACGACGGCATTGACGAGGTAGATGCCCACGAGGCAACCGGCCTTGTTAGTGGCAGGGAGGAAAGACATCAAAGCACCACCAATGATGCTAGAAAAATGTTAGCAGATTGTCAGACATTCCTCCAGATTGACTCACGCAGGGATAATGCAGGCAATGATCCATGCCCAGCGGTGCGACTGCTTTCGAATTCCAAATCCGACACCAAGGGTGAAGAAGATGCTGACGACACCAGAAGGCATGTTCATGAGGGCGGCCTTCTTGGAGTTGTAGCCCAGGTTGCGGATCAGGGTGGAAGAGTAGGTGGTGACGACACCGCTCGAGACGGAGAGCTAAAATCAAATGTTAGCAAGGTGCAGGGGATCCAAGGGCAGGTACTCATCTTACCAAGACGACAGAGACGAGCATGAGGTAGAGCTGAGGATCACAGAATGCCTCAACAATCTCCTTAGGACGGAACTTGCGGTTCTCAATACCAGTCTGGTTAACACTGACGTGCTTGAGCAGAGCAACCTTCTCACCAGGTGTCAACCACCTGGCCTTCATTGGCGTGTCGGGGAGGAGCAAGAAGGTGAAGAGACCGATGAGCACGGTGATGCAACCGAGAGTCACAAACATGATGCGCCAGCCGGCAAGAGAAGCACCAGGACCAATATGCTGGAAACCAAACGACACAGCACCTCCAATAATCTGGCCCAGACCCAGACCGAGATACCAGAAGGAAAATCGAGGTGCCTGCTCAGACTTTGTGTACCACTGGCTGCTGATGAGCATCAAGGAGGGACCGATGGTTGCCTCAAAGATACCGAGGAAAACTCGCGATACAAGGAGCGTGGTGTAGTTGTGAGCGGCGGCACCACAGGCGGTAGCAACACCCCATAGGATGACATTGGCGCCAAGCCACTTGGCAGCGGGAAGAACTTGCAAAAAGTAGACTTGATCTCGTTAATCGCTTGTCCTCTTGGAGGTTACTTGGCACTCACTGTTGGGGACCTCGAAGCACAGCAGTCCGACAAACAGGAACGTGGCGACGTTGGAGAACTCGTTGCCCTTAAGACCAAGGTCTTTATTCATTCCCATGACGGCCGAGTACTGCAGAATGCAATGTTAGATTACGCACATGCAGGTCTCACCATGGACAGGGGGTGGGTGTATGGTACTGACATTGAGGATGACCTTGTCGAGGAACTGCATCGTGTAGCAGCAGAACATCAAAGGCACGATATGCCAATCAATCTTGCGTCTCAGACGATCAATATCGACGGGCTCACTGTTGGCCGCCACCTCTCGATGATCATCAAGAAACTTCCACGCGCCGTCGACATTGCTCGCGCTGCTCTCGGACCCGTGCGACGAGTGGGTGACGTAGACGTCCTTCTGCTGATCCTCCAGGGAAGACATGTTTAACGCGTGGGACAAAGGGGAGTAAACAAAGGAATTTGTAATGTTGGAGCGCATAAAACAAAAAGTAAAGTAAATAAACGACCAGCGGTTATTAAGTATATATAATATATCCAGTACAAAAGGAGGAAATGAAAAGTAAATGTGAGAGGAAACAAGTCTAAACCCGAAGGACCCGTCGGCCGAAGAAATAAGAAAAAAAGTGGCACAAGCGAGGGAGGGAAACCTTTCCAGGAACAGTTCGATACGAGAGGGCAAGCAGAGACGAGCTGATGCAGAGAAAAAACGCCACTCATGCCTCGACACCTGAAACCCTTGATCCCCAGCTCATGCGCATGCAAAGTCTCCATACCCCGATGCTACATTGTGTGATTGCCATAACGGGCATCTACTGGTAATCTAGATATTCCTCCGGATTCTCACTGGGGTGATAACGCCCGTCGAACACATCCCTGGAGGGGTCGTCTCGTCAAGCATCCCTGCTGCATGGGACCAGATGCGGTCCGTCTCTTGCCCCTCCCCCCTGCAAAGATCTGTTGGTTCTATCCTACCTGGTCCTTGCCGCGAGACATGCAACCCGTTGCATCTTGAGGGTCATGTCTGCAGTACGGTGTCCTGTTGGTTCTGGTCGCGCGGGAAAGGACCTCGGTCACATCATGTATCGCACGGTAACGAATAAGGTGGTCAGGTTAAGAGTCTCTGCATGATCCGAGACCGCCTTCGAGAAGGAAAGGGGGTTGTTTTTCTTTTTCTGGGTCTCATATCAAAGACGGAAAGAAAGTGCAGAGAAAAGAGAGTTCGTCTACCGAAGGGCCATGGGTAGGGGGGGTTCCAAATCTCTCGCCTCATCTTGGACCATGGCGAGCTTCAGAGTCGCTCCATTGACATGTCAGGGTTAATCGACTCCTTAATCCTTTAGAAGAGTACAATTCAAAAAAATATGTCTTTGTTAAATTGGTGTCCTAAACCAACAAAGTGTCTCTCCTTCTAAATTACTCGACCACACCGTATGCCAACTTTTTCGAATCGACAATGGGCTGGGTTCTTCACGCCACAGAAGAGGCCGAGCGCATCTCGGAATGGCGCAAGATCATCGCTATTTGCGTCGCTCTGGGTGTGATTGCCAGCGCAGT